TCAGTATGCATGGATGGATTTTGTCAAATTTGGTACATACATTAAACATAATAGGATCTGATGCACGTCTTTTTTTCCGGATCAAGTTCGAAATGGCCGACTGGCGGCCATTTGTTAAAGAATTCAGTTCTGGATCCGTATCCAAGACATGTCTGGATTGATCAAGTTCAAACTTCACACACACATGGTACATCATGTCACAAATAGATATGTGCATTTGTTTCATGATCTGCTTAACAATAGCAGAATGATGGCCATTTTAAGGCCGAAAATGCATCAAAATCACGTATTTTCACAATTCCAGAACCGGATCTCAGTCATGCATGGATGGATTTTGTTCAGATTTAGCACAATGTGTTGTACATATGCAGGTGCATTTCGGTCATGATCTGCTTTGAATGTATATGTCACTCAAATATGAACGGAACGGGGATGTGTCATTGACAATGACTTGTTAATTACCTAATTCGCATAATAAATCATAATTTTTGGTTCTAATCACATTTCAATAAAACTTCGTACATAGATCGTCTGTGACAGTACTCTTAATAATTCAATGAATCTTGGTACATATGTACTCTAACACAATGTGATGATCAAATTAGTTTTAGGTTTATATACATCTATAATAATTACCTAATTTGCATAATAATTTACTTTTCAGCTTTCCACTAATTTAGTTAGGATTAATCATCATATTATAATGAAACTTTGTACATGTGCACCCTGAAACAATATACAGACCTAAATCTATGCATAATAATTGCTTAATTTGTATAATAATTCAGTTGATTCATTGAAGTAATCCACAGACGTAATTAATTTAATGTTGATAAACATGCATATTGATTATCTATTATTAGCCCATTTCTGATATCTAAACAAAAATCAGATTTAAATTGAATTCATCATAGACGTTCTCTTAAACTAATTAGACTAAAAAGCAAGGATGAAAAATCAAATGTATTTTCTGTATGTATTATAAATTTTGATAATGTGAATCACATTTTTTTCATGTTATGCGTCTCAAATAGCAGACAAAAATTAGTTACCAAGCTTCTTGTTTGAAAAGCAAATCTCAAATTTTGAATTAATTTTAATGCGTCTCCAATACTTCTCAGCACACGGTTCTTTCTAAGCTTTCTTTGATTTGATAACTCCTTGCAATAAAAAAAATGGCTTTTAAATTCCTTGTCTGTGGGTGAAATAACAGGAAACAAGTAAATTTATTTCATTGTAAACAAGCATGTTCTAACACTCTCGTGGCATTGACAGAGCTGATGCTGCCTTGATTTTTCAGCTTTCTTTTTTGTCAAAACCCCTGCTCTTATTACACAAAACTCATTTTTATTCAAAATAACACTAATTCAAGGTACATGTCACAGACCAATTTTTTTCAGAAAGCCAGGAACGATGGCTTCAAGAAAATATATATTTTGTTATCAATCAAAACATTTTTCCCTATGAAAAAAGTTTTTTAATTTTTACAGCATGATAACTCGACCGCATCCATAATCATCTTGTTTGGATTTGAATAGGACTATCAATTTTAAATGAAAACCACTGGATTTATCAATACTTAAATATGTATAAACATGGGTTTATTTATGGATTTTATGGATTTCTATTAATGTTTGGCAAAATTCTTTTATATTGTCTTAGTTAAATTGTTAAGAGAATGTTTTTGTGTTTTACCTTTTAATTCTGAAAAAATGATTCTGAAAAGCTATAATTTGTGATAAACATTGCGACTTATAAATATTCACGACATAGTTTTGTTTTAATTGATATTTAAATAATTTTGCTATGGTTTAGGTAATAAACTTCAATGGGGTTCACTAGGGATGGTTGAAATTGTCTTGATAGTCTACATGTTTGTCCACAATTGATCTATATTTAGTAAATCCACCTAATTATAATCAAGTACAACTAGTATTGTTGTTTTCTAGGTTGATTGATGATGATGAAGATTCAAGTATCCCTATTCAACCTAAGTCTCCCAAAACCAGAAAACAGCGTGCTCCAAATTCTCCTCGTCCTCAAACATTCATGAAAGAGAAAGGAGTCAGACATGCCAGAAGATATGCAAACAGTAAGTCTGTCAGTCTGTCTGTCTGTCTGTAGTTGTGATACACAATGTGCAAATATTCTTAACAATAAATACATGATTAAAGATTGTCTCCTTTTTTGGGATTAGCTTGCTACCTGTTGGATATGGTGGACTGTGAAGAATTTGGTGAGGTTACAATTTCTGATTTTATGGAGTGTCACCAAACGGTATTTGGTGAGCTATTAACTGATAAAGCCAGCATGAAGGTATGTTAATGAATAAACCTTCAAGATTATGCATACATTATGTTATTGTCTCCATAAATGTCCCCAAAGAGGAATCTCCATAAATCTATACAGTACTATAGAGATTCTATTGGAACAATACTTACATATAATTATATATGTAAGCAAATTAGACCACTGACCACAGAATCCCTGTTTTACTGCACGTGTACACTGAAAAGTGACATCTGATATATCTTCATGATAATAAAATATGACAATTATAAGCAGTTGCTTTGTTTTCCCTGTGTTACATATTTTTAATAAGACAAGTGTAATAATCTTTTCTCAACAGGATAATCATCAGTTTTCCAGTGAATGAGATGTAGTTGCTCTGATCACTCAAGGAGGAACACAGCTGTGTTCAATAACTCAATGAGAAACACTGGGTGTGTTCTGATGACTCAATTAGAAACACTGGGTGTGTTCTGATGACTCAATGAGGAACACATGGTGTGTTCTGATGACTCAATGAGGAACACTGGGTGTGCTCTGATGATTCACTGAGGAACATTGAGTGTATTCTAATGATTCAATGAGGAACACTGGATGTGTTCTGATGACTCAATGAGGAACACTGGGTGTGTTCTGATGACTTAATGAGGAACACTGAGTGTGTTCTGATGACTCAATGAGGAACACTGGATGTGTTCTGATGACTCAATGAGGAACACTGGGTGTGCTCTGATGATTCAATGAGGAACACTTGGTGTGCTTTGATGACTCAATGAGGAACACTGGATGTGTTCCAATGACTCAATTAGGAACACTGGGTGTGTTCTTATGACTCAATGAGGAACACTGGGTGTGCTCTGATGATGAAAATTTACATTTTAGATTTGGAGTGATTTTGTGAACCACCCTGAAGATCAACAAGAGGAATTCCTTTTAAGCCTTGAAGGTAAGGAAACTGTGAAAGAAGACAAAGATGGTGATACTGAAAAGAAATCTAAATCAGAAATAGTAACTGAAGACAAACGTACAGGTAAATAGTTTGAGATTATGTCAGATTTATGACTTTTTCATTACTTAACCATTTGGACACATATATCTTTCCAACTTATTCTCATTTGATCTCTTCCATACGTTCCATCACAGTCTATAATTACATTTTTTAATTATAGTAAGATCCTGTAATCTTAACAAATGCTATTGCAATTATTAATTATTGATATTAAATGCTGTGTTAGCAATCAATGTACTTTTGAGATATCATTTTGGTATGTGTTGGTTCTCCTGTACTTCGTTTAGTAATTCAAACTTCCCAGTTTGCGTAAAAAGGGATAGTTTCGCGATTTTGATATCGAAAATGCCTTTGCTTCATTATTTGCTGAGGGACGGTCGCTTAGGTATGTGCTCTGTAACTTGCAGCACATGAACCTCAAAACGTTAGGTAATCAAACAAAAATGACGTTGTACTAAAGTTCAAGAAGTACGTTCAAGGTCTTCATTTTTTTCGTAGCATAAAAACGATTTACTCCCTCACTTATTTGAACACCCTCAAATCAACTGATTTCCATTCCCCTCAAGAGTCAAAATGGTATGTGCCTCCATTTTTCGCTATGACTAGAAAAAATTTTTTTTGCTTGATGTGTTCATTTGCCTTCAATTACGTTTCAGTGGCAGTCACTGTCGCATTCTGAGTCTTGTCGATAACATTTTGGTTCAAATCCACGTAGCTATCGCCGAAAATTCAAGAAATCTTTCATTTCTTTGTCAACTAACATGCCGGAAATCAAATTAGCATAACAATGCGCTCGAAGGTTGTTGCCATTTTATTCGACAGCTTTCCACACCAGTGCCACACCACATACAACTAAAAATTTGAACTTTTGTTGGGAAATTCATGTGTAAATTGCGTTTTTAAGTCGCGTACCATAAATTGCGTTTTACAGTCCCTCAAGTTTGTTCCAAAAACTGCAGTTGCACCAGAGATAACCAGAACATTGATTCGTTTCAAAAACATCATTAAATTCACGTTTAAAAACATGTTTGACCTTTGTGAATTGATGATAAGCAAACAATCATGGTAGATTGGCCCCGACTTTCTGTCGATCGGAAACGCAAGGGAGATAAGATTCGATTTTCATAGACGCAGGTCGCTTAGATCGGACGGTTACTTTTGTTTCAGGTATATATAGAACATGTTCAAGCCCAAAATTCTAGCAATAATGTTCACGTCGCTGTACGTTAAAACACACTTGTGAACTTGACAACATTCACTTACGGACCACTAAGATTGATGATTCGATTGCTGACCGGGATAGCTGCATTTAGTGTTCATTTCTATGCAATATAAAATCACATCGATGCTGTGGGCGGTGAAGGCTGACAGTTTGTTTTGGTTCTGTGGTTCTGTGAGATACATTTGGTGCGAATGTATTTAAAAAATCAGTTTTTTGGCTGTTGCCATAGAAACGGTGAGCCAGAATTTGTGTTCAGATTTTGCAACCTAATTACAGTGCACAGCCAAACAAATCACAAAAGATTTAAAAAGCCATTCTTGGTGAACAGTTACCCCAACTTTGGGGTCAAATTTCACGGTAATGAATGAGCTATGTCAGGGGTGTTTTATCCCGAATTTGTAGGAGATGCATTTGGCGCGAAGCTATCCAAAAATAGGCTGTTGCTATGGCAACAATGGGCCAAATTTTTTTTTAGATTTTTGTCCAATAACTAGGGTGAAGGTGTGACCTACCTGCCAATTTTGAGCGAAATCGGCCAAGCCAAAAAAATCACAGAAGAAATAATACGTGAAAACACTGGAAATGTACACACACAGACACACAAACCTACAAAAGTGATTATAAAGGCAATCCAAGCGGAGCGGAGTGCCAAAAAGTGATTTTAAAGGAAATCGTAACCGAGTGGATCGGCAATATGTTATTTACAGACCTAACAAATTCCCACTTCTGGTACGATTAGAATTAAAATACACCACGAATATTCACTTTTGAGATTTTTGGTATGTGTTGGTTCTTGGATATTTCAGCTTCGTCGTCCTGTACTTCATTTAGTAATTCGAACTTCCCAGATTGTGTCAAATCGGAGAGTTTCTTGATTTCCGCTTAGGTACGTGCTCTGCAACTTGCAGCGCATGAACCTAAACATGTTAGGTAATCAAATTCACGAGAAGTGAATACTGCTTAATTGCCAGTTATGAACTTTATCAGGATTCCCGTATGAAGTTACACATCATTCTAGCAAGGAAAAATATTGATTACTGTTGTGCATGTTATATAATAAAATATGAAATAATCAATATTTCATTTTTGTTAATATATCTTTATTTATTAAAATATGTACATATTATATCTAATTGAGGTGGGTATTGCCAAGCAAGTTTATAAAACTATAAACAAACATTTTCGTAAATAACACTGACCGCGAAATACGCCTTTGAGAAGTATTACTGATGAATACTTTATATTGCAATTTTTTTCAATTCGAATTAGTTGTATTGCAATGCATTAGTAATAATAATATTAATAATAATAACAATAATAATATATTATTATTATTTTATTGCATCTTTAGAAATACAGTTTTTATATCAGTACAGTAGCAATAACAGTATACCGATAATTAATAAGTATAAATAATGTAAATATATACATTCCTTTATTTACACAGTTTGTTACGTACTACAATTTATCTATATTGGAAAAACGGTTATGGGGATTATTAATTTCAATAAACAATATTCAACTATCCTTTGCAACACCAATAAGATCATAATGGTGATGTTTATTGGTCTTTGAAACTAGAGGCATTATCAGAGCATGGGTCTTATTTTGGAACTCCTGATTGGATGGTATTCCCAGAATAGTGCCAGTTGTTAAAGAAACAAAACTTTAATTCTCAACAAGGATGAAAGGACCAGTTACTGAGACAAAGCCCTACTCCACGCGAAACCCTACAGATACAAAACCCAATTGCCGCGAAAGCCACTCACTGCGAAGCTACTAGTTATTATTAATAAAATAAAATTAACATACATCAAATCTCTGAAAATTGTTATGTACCATACATAGTACATTAGGGATTCATTTACTTAAGTAATTTTGGTGTGGCAAAGTCATTGTGAGAAGTGAGTTTAAATCATTTTGAGAAGTGAGTTTAAGTCATTGTGAGAAGTGAGTTTAAATCATTATGAGAGCTGAGTTTAAGTCATTGTGAAAAGTGAGTTTAAATCATTTTGAGAGGCGTGTTTAAATCATTGTGAGAAGTGAGATTAAGTCATTGTGAGAAGTGAGTTTAAGTCATTGCATGTGAGAAGTGAGTTTAAATCATGTTGAGAAGTGAGTTTAAATCATGTTGAGAAGTGAGTTTAAATCATTGTGAGAAGTGAGTTTAAGTCATTGTGAGAAGCGAGTTTAATCATTGTGAGAAGTGAGTTTAAGTCATTGTGAGTTTTAATCATTGTGAGAAGTGAGTTTAAATCATTTTGAGAAGTGAGTTTAAATCATTTTGAGAAGTGAGTTTAAATCATTGTGAGAAGTGAGTTTAAATCATTTTGAGAAGTGAGTTTAAGTCATTGTGAGAAGTGAGTTTAATCATTGTGAGAAGTGAGTTTAAATCATTGTGATAAGTGAGTTTAAATCATTGTGAGAAGTGAGTTTAAATCATTGTGAGAAGTGAGTTTAAATTATTGTGAGAAGTGAGTTTAAATTATTGTGAGAAGTGAGTTTAAATTATTGTGAGAAGTGAGTTTAAATCATTGTGAGAAGTGAGTTTAAATCATTGTGAGAAGTGAGTTTAAATCATTGTGAGAAGTGAGTTTAAATCATTTTGAGAAGTGAGTTTAAATCATTTTGAGAAGTGAGTTTAAATCATTTTGAGAAGTGAGTTTAAGTCATTGCGAGAAGTGAGTTTGAGTCATTGCGAGAAGTGAGTTTGAGTCATTGCGAGAAGTGAGTTTGAGTCATTGCGAGAAGTGAGTTTGAGTCATCGCGAGAAGTGAGTTTGAGTCATTGCGAGAAGTGAGTTTAAGTCATTGCGAGTTTTAATCATTGTGAGAAGTGAGTTCAAGTCATTGTGAGAAGTGAGTTTAAGTCATTGCGAGAAGTGAGTTTAAGTCATTGCGAGAAGTGAGTTTAAGTCATTGCGAGTAGTGAGTTTAAGTCATTGCGAGTAGTGAGTTTAAGTCATTGTGAGTAGTGAGTTTAAGTCATTGTGAGTTTTAATCATTGTGAGAAGTGAGTTCAAGTCATTGTGAGAAGTGAGTTCAAGTCATTGTGAGAAGTGAGTTCAAGTCATTGTGAGAAGTGAGTTCAAGTCATTGTGAT